AGTTTATGGTTTAGGGTTTAGAGTTCGGGGTTTAGACTTTTGGGTTTAGAACGCTGAGCTCAGGGCTTAGGATTTCCTAGCAGTGTAGGTTGCAATAGCAAGGGAGGAAATTCCAGGATTTCAGTTGTGCGTTGACTTGTTGTCGGAGTATGTGTTTTATTCTTCTGGGCCACATTGCCTGAGGGTTCATCGATTTAGTTATTACGTACTCTAGGGCTTCGCCTGTAGTAGCCCTACTTCGAAACCCTATGAATAGTTGTATGCTTTACCCTAATCATTATTACAAGAAGGACCCTCACCCATAGGTACCTTCTAAGGAAGTCCTATGAAATTGAAAGCAGGCAAGGTAGATATGAGCTGTAGCCTAAATTCCTTACAGGGGGGCTTATATAGGGGATTGTGTAGGGGACTACTATAAGGGTTATTACGGGGGATACCCGGACTAAACCCTAAACCCTACATAACCCCCTAGAAAACTCCCTTTTGAGGAGTTTAGACTATAAGCTCATATGGGGTCTGCGTTTTCCGGGGGAGCAGGAACTTCTTTCCTCATGTTGTAGTCCCCCCTTAAGTAGATAGAATATGGCTTTGGGTATATTCAAGGTCTAGGGTTTAGGGGGTATATTATAGTAAGATGAGCCTTAACCCTAAACCCTTAACCCTTAAACCCTGAACCTTAAAAAGAGCCCTAAACGCTAAGCCCTAAACCCTAAACCCAAAACCATACAACTTCAAGCTCTAAACCCTAAAGCCCTGAACCTTATAAACCCTCCAATCCCTAAACCCTTAACCCTGAACCCTCATCCCAAAATCCTAAACCCCTAAACCCTGAACCCTAAACCCCTAAACCCTGAATCCCTAAAGCAACGAGGTCAGCATTGCCTGACTTCGGGCTGTGTGGCCTACTGCGGGCTCTGGCAGATGGCTCAGTCTGGCAGTGAGGAGGCTCCAGCTTTTGGGAGTTCAGCTTGGGCCTCTTAAGGAGGGTTTAGGGTTTAGGG